GGGGGGGGGGGGGGGGGGGTAGTAATGGGGGAAATGGGTAACTAACGGTGGCGGGCGATTATTATTTATGGGGTTATAGTGTAGGGGGTAGGTCATTTCACCTCGTCACAGCTTTTGCTCTTAACTTAAGGATCAAATTCCGCTAATGGAGAGATCAGAAGTGGTGAGCAAGATGCCTTGTAAGGGCTCGCAGTGTTTTGTCGGGTAAACGAGACAACGACTGGGAGGTAAGAGTGAGCGCACACAAGCCTGACTGTGCGCCACGAAAAATTCTGAAGAAGCAAAAGCCTGCATTGGTTACACATCACTTTGATGAAGGTTGTGACGGCGATTTTCTAATGAATCAAACAAAATCAAAAGTCCTTCATCCGCAACGAAAATCCTTGTACGAAGACAAGCGGAGTTTGTCACCTTCGACCTCTCCCGCTCCAACTTCCCCAAAATCCTCCAAAACCAAAAGCGTAAAACTGCCAGCTACTCTTATAAGAAACTGTCGTTGGGCCCTAGTCGATTTTTGACAACGTGGAATCCACGAAACTGCAACCGTAACCGTAATGAACAAAAAGAGAAAAACCAAAAATATATAACTGGAGGTTGTGAAAAATCAGAGGGAGAGGTTGTGGAATTATACCTAGCTAACTCGGGAGAAAATTCGGAGAACGGGGTGGATCCGGTCGCTCTGTCTTAGGAAAGGGGTCGCAAATATAACGAAACAACGAGAAATACAACCAGAAAGAATCGAATCAAAATTCGCTTAATTCTCTAGGAACTTGGGAATTCAAGAGATAGAGAGACTTTGAATAAATGAGAAAAATATCTGGCATTTAATTTACCCACATGATTCCAATACAAACTCAAAAATTCTAATTTTCATTGAACAAAATTCATTTATCGACGGGGAGGGTAGATAGAATAGGTTACCTTGAGAGAGACCTACGCGAGGGCGCGGGGTAGGGAAAATTAACTCACGTACATATTGTTGCTCTGCACTATCCCAAATCGGCGTGCATTAGGATTTACACGTTTTCGGACCCGTTCAGGACGAGAAATCGACGAATACCTGACCAACGCAAATATCCCACGACGGAGGAAACTCTAGGGAAGGGAAGCAGCACTCCCAAGGTGCTCTCATTTCCTGTATTCAAAGTTAACCTCACGTCCTAGCGTCGTGGCATCGCTTTCAATACCGGGGCTCACGTGCTTCTACCCGAGGAGAAGGCTTAAATTATTTAAATAAAATGATGGAAAAGGTTTACCGAGACGAAAGTGCTCTCACTGCAGGCAACATTCCGTAAATCCATCACCACTGCTTCGTTCACACCACGTGGAGAGCATGGGTGCAACATAACCTATACTTTATTAAACAAACTAACAAAGTCCTTCACTTAATTAACACGATACACTCGCTACACCACTAGCAAATATTCGTGAACCAATTATGCACTCGAGTGGTGCATTAATTGTTCGACGATTCCCTGTCGCCGTTGGAGAGGGCGTCATTCGCCCTGGAAGAGCCATGTGCATTTTCCTTCCGTGGATGTCCCGTATTTTCAGTGGAATGGATGCACTACGCCTTTTCCGGGAGTGTGCACTCGGCAATGGAGTGATTTCTTACCATTTTCCTCCGTTGATGGGCCCACGAGATGTTCCTCTCGGCGTCTTCACTCCGCAATTCGTCTCGGCGAGGTTACGGCGATGAAAGCTGATCAACGACTATTTACCGCCCTGACCCATGATTCTCAGCTGGTAGGCGACTGGCACGCCGCATAACTGGTCGCTGGAGAACTCAAGTTGCGGTTGGTAGAAACTGGCGCGCGGGAACGTACGTTCAAATTCAACGTACGGGTAGTTGGTTAAACGGTGCATTTAGCTTTTATAATTTCAAATAAATGAATGTTACCTTGAGGTAACTATTATTTCAGTAAATGGGGGTTAACTTTATTTTAATCAATACCGGAAACTAATATTCTTGAAGGATAAAAGGCTCGGAATGAGAGAGAATATAGGCAGTTGTTCGCCCTTTCTTCACGCGAATGCACTTCTCACCTGATAGTGCACTTTGTGTTACTGTCGCTCTCCCGGGAGTTATTGGGGGATCACCGTCACCGAAACCGTAACGAAACCGAATATAACCCATGGTAATCCATGTAGACGAGTGGGTTAGGTCATCTACATGGCCTTCCAACGGCACCCGTGATTCCAAAAACTCCACGAAACGCATAAACCAGGGAGCGTGAGCATTTCAGCCCAACCTCTACAATCAGCACCTTACACTCAACAGGATCAACGAGATCTCACCGGGAGGCTCAGTCTATCGGCCACGGTGGATACTCGTCCCACTCAGAAATCGCGAGGAACCGAAAAATAACGGAAACTGTAAATACATGTGACTGTAAATTTCCTCTAAACCGTGATAACCGAAACTGTAATTCCCTCAAACTGAAAATTAACGGGAACTTTAACTTGATGAACAAGTTATTATTGAATGTTTCTTATGTTATTAGTTTTTAACGTGAATCGACACTTTTTAATTGTTTATCCGTACTTAAGTGAATTAAACGTAATTTTCCCACGACGGTTCATCTCCAGATGTTCCTGATGACGGCTATCCGAGGAGCTGGGGCTAGAATTATAAATATTGCATCTCCCTCCGACAGGAGTGCTAATTTTGGGAAAACGAAAATCTCTACTCTCTCTTATTAGTAACCACTCATTATCTACTCACCCTTTACAATCTGTCTTACGAAATCCGTCGAGTTCCTTCTCCTGCGATGAACTCACGTACAGATGGCGGAATTGCCCGAAATTTCGTCACAAGGTAATTTTTCTAGATTTGACTAAATGTCTATCCTGAATATCGCGACTAACTGGCGAAAATGTAATATCTCGAAGATGGTTGACATTTCGCACCAAAATACGATGATTAAGAGAGAAGATATCCAGAATCTAAGCCGTACTTAAAGCGTCTTAATGCCGAGATGGAGAGTATAGCAGCGATTAATCACAAGATACTAGACAACATACTAGAAGTACCTAGGTAGTTTATGGTTTTTTCGTTTTTGTTAATTGTTATCGTTTTCAGCCACTTAGAATAGAGTTTTGTTGAGATTTTGAGTTTATGCCAGATTTTGTCATGATCGAATGGATTTATTTTAATTATTCATTTGTTTCGCTCGTGAGATTTTACAGAATTCGTCTTACTATTTTACTCATTGGTTGTATTTGAATGGCTTCCAGAGCCTAAGGCAGCTTAAATTTTACAAGTGACTCCGCGCGATTTTACAAACGGTTAGTACGGTTGACTAATTTTCCAACTATCTCATGATGTATATCCTGAATTTGTTGATAACGTGAAAATGAACAACATAAATTCTCCATTTGGTCTAGCTCTCTCCGTTCCGCCCCATGCATTGTCGAGGCGGTATAGTAATTCTCGAGAGATTTTTGTTTCTATGTACTAGCCTCACTCAATCTGGGAGCGAACGACCAGCTTCTGACTTACAATGTATCGTTTCATCATGTGGTCAAATGTTTGCAGTGAGTATCGACGGTGAAAAGGGACGAGAGTTTCGAGGGCCACAAAAATTTACAAGGTTCCTGCTAACTGTGGACAATACAAATATATCGTCTAGTGTGGAAGGTACGCTGGATCTGATTGATGAGGATCTAGCGCAATTTTCGGAAAGATGTCTGAATGCTGTAACTGAATCGAGTATGGTTTTGAAGGAAAGTGTCAATGTTGCTTGGATCAGTCCTCCAGCAGGCAGTGGATGTATCTTAATTAGGTACCACAATATCTTATATTTGCTATTTATTTATTAAAAATTAGAAATAGAGATAAGAGGAAGCTATCTACAGTTGAAAAATTTGAAATGTATAGCTCACGATCATTGGAATGAAGTGCATTATTAGAATGCGTTCATTTGGTACTAAGTGAAAACAAGACTTAATGCAAATAGTAGATTACACCATTGGGCCCATAAACTATTTTCTAGAAGATATACCTGATTGTGTGAACAGTTTCATTTTGATATACGTAAGTTTACATTTAGGGCCGTGTAACATAGGAGTATTTGTTGGATTAATGAAATAGTTTGGATTAAGTTCCAAAAAAGGAACAAATGACATCTCGCTTGAAACTCGATTTAATAAAAACTAGAAGAACGAAAAAATAGTTAGTGCCAAGGACTGACGGCTTGAAAATCATGGAGACAGGAATATAAAAATAGACCACACAATTTATATACGGATACGAAATGATGAAAAACTGATAACCAAAAGTCCAAGTTAACCAATCTGACCTGTAAATCGAACTACAAAATAATTGCGCCAAGCAGACGGCCTTGGAATTAATCGTCGATCCTTTAATTATGATTCCACTTACCTATTTATGATTTTCTAGCCGGTTTCATTATTTCTGTTTTCATGATATTCAAATAATTACTCCTTAGCACTAATCATTTCTAATTTCTCCCATTTTCCTAAACAGAACAACACCAGAACGCCCTGTTTAGGCGATTTTTTCGCAGAGCGTTTTTTTTGTTTTTGGGAAGATTTCACAGTTTTGTAATGAAAGCTTGTCGATTTTACGACTGCAGTTACATTCAACAAATTAGTTTTCTAAACCGGTGTTATCTATTTTTCAATTGTGAAAAATTTTCCCAATATTTCTACGAAGATTTCACACATGTTTTGAAATTATAACATATTCTAGTATTTTTCAGGTTTGCTATGAACTGAACAACGCTCGTCCTGGACGATTGTTTGTTTGGCATAAGTTGTGAGCTTCCGAACATTGTAATGCTTCAAATTAAAGTTTTCAATTGTTTGTGTCTGTTGAATATGTTTCAAAAAGTCAGAATATGCCATTGTTGGATGATGTCTTTTTTTTTTCGAGTGCCTTTTATAAAGAATGTCAAAGCATGGTATTGGATTGTCATCATACCCTCTGTAGTGCCCACTGACATATAACTGTACTCGAATGTTTACTGGGCGCTAAACTTTGTGCGAGAGAGTGGTAAAATCCCTTCCGAAACGGAAGTTCTGTATGCGCCGCATTGTGTTTAGGGAGAGAAGTGCAGTAATTAATTTTCTCCATTTTTTCTATATGGTTACATATAAGATTTTCTTGATGACTGATTGTCTTGGAGAATGTCAATACAGATTTTCAAGTGACAATTCATCCGTCTATGGAAATGGTTTTTTGATATTTTCTCCTCAAAGGATATATTTTTCAAATAAATGGATTAAAACAAAATTCCATTGAAAATAATTCATCAACTATGTTACTAACTGATCAAAATAGATAGAAGTCGAAAAATTCTGAGGATATACAGGGTGTTTCAGAAGTACATGTACATCTGAACACCCTAGGATCAGGGGGTGATTCTGAGCAGAAAAGTCCTCTTGCACTTTTTGATCAGACTCACCCCTAAAAAGTTATTGGCAATTAAGGCTGGGCCAATAGAGAGTGATTTTTAAGCGGGCGCACATCCATGTAATATGCAGCATATGTGTGTGTGCCCGCCCCACCATTCTACGAGACAAAATAGCGCAACGATATTGCTCTCTCTCTCTCTCTCTCTCTCTCTCTCTCTCTCTTCGCTGGAATGACGAAGAGGGGAGAATGAATGGGGGAACGTAATTCCCCCTCCACACGCAATGGAAGGACCAAAGAGGATAGACCTGAGTAGAGGCCGGGATCAGGGGGTTTGACTGACTCCAAAAATTTTAGTTGGTACCCCACGGGAAAGGCGGCGT